AAAAAGACAACAGTGGACATAAAAAGACAAGATACATTCGTCAAGACTCATAAGGTACAACACTGAATGATAGTCATAGGGTACAAATAAGCAATCAGGAAACAAGATCAGCATAAATCATAAGGATACAAGCAACAAAGTTACAGTTATACAGTCATAAGGTGGGGACGGACTCGTGATATGTTATGTAGGTATGAAAGCCGGCTGGGTGACTTCAGTCCAATCACCAGGAGACAGGGAGTTCTAGTCCCGCCTTAGCCTTGAAAGCCGGCTGGGTGACTCTGCGCCAGTCCCTCTCCCTCAGCCCACCTCACAGGGATGTTGTTGTAGGGAAAACAGGAGGAGGAAGGAATATTACGTATTTTCGCCTGCCTTGAATTATTTGTAAAGCCAACACAGGGAGGATTAAACGAGTGAAGTAAAAACGTAAAAGCAAAGCCACCTTGGCTCTCACCTGAAAGATCTGGCTGACGTGGGCAGCAATGAACTTTGCTTGGTAAGCGGTGCCGTTGGTCAAGTGCAGCTGGACCACCTCGCCCTCCCCAGGAGGCCCCATCTGAAGGCAGTCTCTGCTCTGAAAAGCCAAAGGATTTCTTTACAAGCAGCTCCTTGAGTCCAATCGGATGTCAGAATCGATCCGACAAACTTAACCTGAGAAGACTTTGCCCTAGTTTCAACTGGGAAACTGAGAACGCTGGACAAAGCCAGAGTCCAGAAACACGAGGGGATTCCTGGAAGCTTGGCACCCAAACAAACCGGCCATCAACAAGTACAGAAAGATAAACCACATTTTCACACCTTTCAAAAGAGACAATAAGAAAAACTAAGAAAGAAACACAAAGACGAGAACATATCCTTTCCAGGAGCAAACACCGAGATAACCAGGGATTAACACTAGACAAACAATCAAGCAGAAAACCACATTCTAATCAAGAAACGACCAATTCAGACAAAGAATCAAACAGTAAACTACAGCTTCATCAAGGAACCAACAACAACACTCCCATCAACACTGACACAGTAAGCAGCTGCTAGTATACAAACAGAGCACAAACCCGAATTCCTTCTAGGAATGATGATGTTCCCTAGTTGGGTCATGTAATGTCTGCACAAAAACAACCAAGCACGGAGAACACCAAGGACCCCATAGTTCTCCTCCTCCCCCTTCCCCCTTCTGTGCCTCTCCACAAGCCCCACTCCCTTCTAGCACTGATGATGTTACCTAGCTGGGTCATGAAACTGTCTGTAAGAAAACAAGCAAGCTCAGAGAACAGAGTAAGAGGAGTTGTTCCACACTCTACTCTTAAGACTCCCTGTCCCTCAAAGCTACTTACAACAATGTTTTCCGGATAAATGTTATCACTGTAGGAGCCATCCTCAAAATTGACCTCGTAGAAGGTTTGCGTGGTCACCCCGATCACTTTACACCGGTAATAGAGGCCGTTCCGGTTTTTCGCAATTACCGTCTGGCTCAAGGAGACCTCTCTGGAAAAGGGAAGCTAGAAAGGACAAAAGAGACCATCCTCGTGTTAAAATATTCATGACTGGGAGAGACATGGGAACAAGGTCAGCCAATGAACAGGCATAGCAACTAAGTCAGCCAATGGGAGCTTAAAGAGATCTGAACCTGTGCAGAGAATTGAAACAGAAACTTGAGAAAAAAAGCAGTCTGCTGCTCTGAGAAGTAAACTAGCAGTCTGCCTGGGCTTGTCTGTTGAAATGAAAGTAACTGCTTGTGTTTGCCTGTAACTCTCCTGCCTTGTCTTTTACTTGGGAGAACCACCTGTTGGCATTGTACATTTATTCCTCTATTCTTATGTATATAAAGAAGCTAAGGAATCCAGCTGAATCAGTTATCTGTGGGTGCTTTCTGGGTTTGAATTTATGCAACAAACTCTGATAAAGCCATCATCTGAAAGTACCAGGAAGAGAAGAGGAAGGGGAGGAACAGATCCACAGGAGACCTACCACGTGGCTGGCTGCTTTATGTTTCAAGCAGGTGATGGACACCACGTAGGGCCAATCGTCAGGCTCAATGGGCACCCCTGCCGCGTGGGCGCAGGTGACGTGGAATGACGTGGAGCAGTGCTCGGAGGAGCATTGGATGCAGGCCCCCGATACTTTCTTCATCCGCTTACGGCAGTAGACGCATTTCTGGAAAGAAAAGGGGAGCCGTTAGGGGCGCACGGCAAAGGGTCCAGCATTACGGCAGAGCTTTTGGCAGTTGAGGAGTTCGGATTCTGCCAGGGATGAGAGGCTCAGAAAAAAGCAAATGGCTGGGAAAAGCAGAACGGTTCCGTTCAGAGGCAACGCAATTCCAAAACTCCAGAACGAGAATTGAGGATTTCAGCCAGATCTCAGTCTGATCCACTAAAGGATCCATCTCATCTCGTTTCAAGCCATTTCCCAAAGGAGAAATCTATCAATGGCCACGACTCTAAATGCTACCCCTGAGAGGCTCTCCTGTTCATGTCCAATTGATAAAAGAGAGCATTTGCAGCTCAGGATTGAAATGAGGGGTCCTTGATGCTCTCTGAACTTGGCCGTCTTCTTGCAGACGTGTCTTTACCCAAATAGGTAAGGTCATCAGTGCTAGGAGGGAGTGTGGGGGTTTGCTTTCTATTTATGTACAAGTGGCTTGCCCTGTCTGTCTTGATGGGAATGTTCCTGGTAGGTTCCTTGATCAGCCTTCATAGCACTGATGATGTTACCTAGTTGGGTAATGAAACGTCTGCAAGGGAATAACCAAGCTCAGAGAGCACCATGGACCTCACAGTCAGCCCCCCCTCCTCCTCTCCGCAAATCCTCCCTTCTAGCACTGATGATGTTACCTAGTTGGGTAATGAAACGTCTGCAAGGGAATAACCAAGCTCAGAGAGCACCATGGACCTCACGTCCGATTTGTGGGCTTTCTCACAAATGTTTTGGTCTGGGCTGGTAGCTCCTCTAAACCCACTCCCCAATTCCTAATTCTGGCTGCTGCCTCAGTTTCTCCAGGGTCACAGGTAGTCCTCGACCAACATTCTTTCATTTGAAGTTATGGTGGCCCTGCAAAAAATGGATATAGCACCAATCTTTGAAGATGTTACAGCAGTTGTAACATCCCTGTGGTCATGTGATCATGATTGGGTGCTTGGCTCAAGGTTATGACATCACAGGGGGAGAAAGTCATGTGACCGTCATTTGTGAACTTCCCCAATGACTCTCCACAAGCAAAGTCATTAGGGAAACTGGGAGAGAAGGCTGGAAGTGTCTCTGCGAAACATACCAGCTATCTTTTTTTAAAAACGATAAGTAAATAAAATCATTTCTATTAGACTTTACAAACACAAAGATAAAGGATTAACATGAAGAAACATACACAAAGGAAAAATTAATACGTGCAAAAAAGAAAAATATAATGAAGGAAAATGGAGGTAAAGAAATGGCTCCTCCCTTAATCAAGACAAATACCATCAATTTTAATAATTTATCACTTTCTCTGATACGGCAACAAAAGAACTTCATTCTTTCCATATCCCATTTTTAATAATAAACTATTCTTAAAACAGTCATTCAATCCTAATCATAAATGTCCATCAAGAGTTAAGAGAAATGAAAGCATGTATTTTCACCTTAATCAAATAAATGATTTTATATTTTGTTAACATCACCATTTATCACTTTCTCAAAAGAAAAAAAAAACACACAAGAAAAATTTCCTTCTTTCCATATTTCAGTTCTTCTCTATAAACCAATCTTTAAAGCCTTGTCATTCAGTCCTAATCAGCAATGGTCCATTAAGCGGGGTCAGGAACAAGAACATATTTTAGCCTTGATCAAACAATCCCACTTTATATCCTTTTGCTTTTCACGCTCTTGGTTTTTAATTCTTTTAAACAGTGTCCCACCATTTGGGTTTCCTTTTCTCTTCTCAAAATCTCCTCCAAAACTTTTAACAGGTCTGGTTTGTGAATTCAAAACAGACAGGTCTATTCAAGACACCTTTCTGGATTGTTATCTGAATACTTCTTTTCATTATGAAGACGTCACCCGATTTTGTTTGTAAATTCGGAATATCATCTTGTTCCATATCATTCTTGTATCCTGTCATATTTACATCCACATTCAAATCAGCCTCAATCTGCTGAGATCTTCTATATCTATAACCTATCGCATGCATGCCCAAAGTGGCACGCGAAGCCATGTCGCCTGGCATGTGTGCCTTCTGGGTTTCTGGCACACATGTGCACGCGACAATCAGCTGTCCTTTGCGTGTGTGGCAGTGCCGAAAACCAGTGTGCGCATGCGTGCCGGATGGATGACTGTTAGGCACGCATGCGCGCTAGAACCCGGAAGATCAGCTTTTCCGGTGCATGGCCCTGAGAAGCATGTTTGTGTATGAAATTTCCATGCAACCTTTTTGGCAAAAGGTTCGCCATCACTGTTCTATAACATCTTTAGGTTTCATTTTTATGGTGAGAGACTATTCCAGAGAAGCCTTTCCATCTATGTTCCTCAAATATTCTGAAAGCTTTCCACACTTAAGAATATTTTGTTGCATTCTGTATTAATGGGTCTCTTCTCCTTTAATTATAACCTTCAGTTTTTTCTGGTTCCCTTTAGAGTCTAACCTTCAGAATCCCCTT